GGAGGTCAGAAGAGGGCCTCGGATTCCCTGAAACTGGAGTTAAGAACGGTTCGTAGCCACCATGTGGGTGCTGGGAATTGAACCCGGGTCCTCTTCAAGAGCAGTCAGTGCTCTTAACCGCTGAGCCATCTCTCCAGCCCCGGGAAGTTATTTTAATGTAACATGTTAGCAGAGCCAGCAGATTCAGCTCATACAACATACACTTGGTTAGTGGCTATGAGGTGCCAGAACCTTAGAACTCAGGAGTAGAGCCTGTGGTCAGAATTTTCTCTTTACAAAGCTTGTGAACTACTCACAAATATAGACAAGCAAGCATATCAGTTTAATAAGAGAGTTCTAAAACATATTTGGAGATTGGCTAACCTGGAGCTGGGAGTCAGGGAAGAAATTTCTGAAGAAGTAGTTTAGAAGATGAAGTCTGAGCAAGGCTTTACAGGAGTCAGGTTTGAGGAACAGGGCAGGCAGGTTGGGAACAGGAGAATTGGTTGTACAGAGAATAAGCTTCTAGATGCAAGAGAGAGAACAGCACTGTGTGAAAACTGGGGCATTGTGAAGTCAGCTCAGAAGATCAGGTCCCTCATGAAACATCCAGTGATGCTAAGTATTCAACTTTATTTTGATATTTTTGGCAGGAGAGTTTTAAGACCAGATTTGTGGCTTCATAAAATTGTGTGGACAGCAGGGTTGAGTGGGTAGGACTGGAGACAGAAGCTGAGGTAAAGGGGAGGAGGTGCTGCTTAAAGGGGGCAGTGGAGGGAAAACTGAAGGACGGGCCTGGCCGAGGTTGGCCAGATGTGTGACCAGTGGAGATGCAAGTGTTAGGTTGATGCCGAGTTTTTAATTTACTTTTATGTGTGTGTGTGTGTGTGTGTGTGTATGTGTATGAGTGCACATGCAGAGAGGGCCTACTATTGCCATATCACACATGTGGAGGTCAGACGACAACTTTCAGGAGCCAGTTCTCTCCTTCCACTGTGGGCTCTGAAGTTTGAATTCAAGTCATCGGGCTTGCTTGGCAAGCACTTTCACCCACGGAGCCATCTTGCTGTTCTAGTGCCAAGTTTCTGACTGGCATAACTGTTAACTGGGTTGGCAGTGATATTCTCTATAAAGTCAGAAACAGGGAAGCAGTCAGCAGGTTTAATGTGGAAGAGAGAGATCAGGTTGCTTCTTTTGAGTGTCTGGTGATATTCATGGAAAACCTACCTGGACATGGCAGATTGGGGGCTAGAGATGCAGGTCTGTGGTCTGTAGAGAGCTGGAAAGGGAAGTTGTGCAGACATGAAATCACAGGCCCAAGATGGAAAGAAAGTTTGAGGACCATCTTTAAACTATGGGCTTGGCAAAAAAGCAGCTCTTAGCTTTGGTTCTTCAAAATGTTTTGAACCCTCTCAGCATGCATTAGCCTCACTGCTGCATTTGATCATTTGATGTGTTCCTTTGTTCCTCCCCGTTTGCCTTTTCAAGTTCATCATCTTTATGATGGAGGAGCCATACAGAAAAGCCACTTCTGGTCTTTGAGCAGCATTGCTGTAATGTGCCAGTGTTTGGGAATGATCTTTTATTCTTTAGTTAGGATGAAATTAAACAAACCTAAGTAAACTTGGTTTTTAAGTTTCGTTTCTCTGAAGGATACAGAGCAAAAACCAGGAACTTAATGTAACAGAGCTGAGGGGGGAGAGCTGGAGAGAGAGGGGTTCTAGTTTCATTTCTATTTCTGTTTCTGTGATAAGAGTATCCTGACAGCAGGCAGTTTAGTGAAGAGGAGGGGTTACTTTAACTTACATTACTGCAGGGAAGTTATAGGCAGGAGCCCTAGGCCACTGCTCACACCACATTCATGAATACTCCTGCTGCAGGCAGGCCTGCTTCCTTGCTTACACTCTTACACACTTTGGGCCCCACCGCAGGGAATGATGTGGCCCACAGTGGGCTGGATCCTCCCCCAGCAACCAGCAATCAAGACAGTCCCCCACAGACATGCCCACACCAGCCTGATCAGATCTGCCCAGTGATTCTAGGTTGTGTCAAGTTGACAGTTAAGACTGACTAGCACAGGAGATGAGGCCTGGGCACATCCCTGTCACTGTCAAGTGTACTTGGATAGTTTGCCAGAAACAGTGTCTCTAGGAGTGTGATAGGAATTCTAGTCTGAAGTTTTTATTTTCAAACACAGAAACCAAAACCTGTGTTCCCTCAGGGTCACGGGGTTTGCCTTATATCACACTGATTGTTAGGGTTGAGGTGCAGCAAAACCTGGCAGCTCCTGATTCCTAGTCTTGTGATCTTTTTATGACTTTGAGATGTGGCCCTAGAGATCCACTTCCACTATCGCCCTCTCCGTTTCCACCCATCCTGCCCCTCCCAATGCTTTGAAGTTTCAAAGAGTAGCAGGAAAATGTGACACCATGGTTGCACTCTGTTGTTAAGACACTGGTGATAGTCTTTGGACCGATGTCCAGTCAGCATCTATGTTTAAGTTGTTTGGGGAACATGTCTGTCTCGTTTATAATTTTTGGTGTAATGACACATCTAATTTTTTGGTTGTTTAATAAAAAGTGAGAGTTGGAAAACTATAATTTTATTTTTGCCTTATGAAATCTGAAAATACCATCTAAAGGCTAAAATTTTATTTCATAAGCCACTTACTGAAGAATTAAAAGACTTGATTTTTTAAAAAAATTTATTTTATGTGTATGCATGTATTGCCTGCATATAGGACCTGTGTCCCACATCATGCAATGCCTGCAGATGTCAGAAGAGCGTGTCAGAGTCCCCTGGAACTGGAGTTACAGATGGTTGTTAGGTGCCATGTGGGTGCTGGG